ACTGCAGTCGCACTCGAGGACATATTTCTTTAATTATTATTTAAAGAGAACTAGTTTAAGTCGATAGTAACAGCTATTTTTGTATTATACAGTCTATACCATAGCAATGCACTGAAGAAGAAAGATAAATTAATTATTACACGTTATAATAATAATAATAGTAATCCTATTTGTCCGATCTACACTTTTATCTGATTCTTAAATGAAGATGAGAAAAAAATTATTTGTATCTCTGATGTATATACTTGTATCAAAAATATCTAGCACTTTTTTTAAACTTTTTAATATACATTTATAAAAATCAAACTGCTGCAGCAATTTCCACGCGATTGAATATTTTCTCATACGAAGAATATATGCCATACGTATATTTCTGAAATGAGTTACACGCAGCCATCTATATAAGGAATATTTGTTTCTGTTTACTTACTCTCACCGTTTCTCCACACATCATTCTTTCGCGATACAAGAGTTCAGATTCATCCACTGAAATACCAGTACAAATTTTTCGACAAAATATACACTTTATTCTTACGTTCCATTGCACTCTCGCGCTCGAGAAACCGCTGGAGCGGAAGACGCAGGAGCGTAAAATACAATATTCGGGCTTGCTCGAGATCGTGTAATGTAATCTGGGTGTAAATCGCGACGGTGCGCTGCGAAATGCGAGCGGGACTGCTTGCTTGGCGCTGCAGTTCACGTATGTAGAGCAAGTGGCAGCGTTCCAAATCTCGCGAGTACGTGGGATAAACATTTCCGCCATAGGACAACCGTTTTCCAACGGCTTCGGAGGGATGTGCGCTCCACGCGATATGCTCCATAAAAGTATCAGTCCACTTGTGAGTATCTCGTGACAGTTTTTGCACGCCAACTGGCAGACATATTTGCGTAGAACAAACGTATAAAGTCTTCATGGAGAATTTCTTCATCAGAGAAATGAGAGGAAATCAATTGGTTTTAATCAATTAGAATCGAGAATGTATTGAAAGCTTTATATTAAATAATGTTTACTATTTAATTATTATTATTGAACAAGCAAAAGCGATTTCTATCATTTCTACTTTGCCCTTTTAAAACTTGCTTCTTTATTAAGCTGTTTATATTCTATTATATGTTATTAAATGGGTAATAATATCGAAAATATTACAGAGAAAAGAAATGAGACCATTGACTGTTTTGATATAAAACTGATATAAGACTGATATATTTCAAAATATTAAAGTTTCTTATTCTACTACAATTTTAGATATTAAATTTAGGAGTTTACAACGCACTTGTTTGCACAATCACGTCATATATAAGAACAATCTCTGAACTCGTTCTAGTGATTTAGACATTTTAACGTTACGCATCATTTCTTCCTGTACTGCAAACTGTCAGAAATTTCTGCGACACTGCTTTAAAAATAGTAAATTTTCAAGTTTCATCCACGTTTATATTCGAATATATTCGTTTCTTCTTGAGACGTGAAGTTTAGAAGTATAAAGTATTTCTGTGAAAATATAATGTTATTTAAAAAATTTACTATTTAATTTTTAGTTGAAATTTATGGTGGTGAGATGGTATTAACGTTAATGTGAATTGCATTGAAATTGAAGCAAATTAAATAGAAACCCACTTTCTTTTTTCTGTTATAGCTTTGTTATAAAAGCTTCATTTTAAGCAAAATGTTTGAATCTAGAATGATTTCGAGACTCTTTTGATTTAATGATTTGTACCTTGTTATCTTCAAATAATTAAATTTTCGGATGACATTTGGAAATTACGTTTGGTTCGTCGTTTATGGAATTACGCGGTAATGAATCGATATTTGAGATTGAGCATGTAGAATAGATGGGATTAATATTCAATGGAGATTTGATATTCGACAGCTATTAAATCGATTCTCGTTCAAATATTGACACATAGCACGTGATCATGAAAGAAAACTTGCATAAATCGTACGTTACAATGAACTAAAGTCGTCTAGGTTTTTACTCATTATTACAAGAAAAATGAGGAATTTATTAAGTAAAAGTAATTTGAGCAATACGGATATATAATAAAATTGATAGCAATATTATTGCATGTAAATTGATAATTACTCTGATTGAAAATATTAAAAAAAAATGATTCTTTGGTGATATTTTTAAATTTTAACATCTGTCTGCAAAATACAAACTTGTATAAAATTTTGTTTAATTTAATAAGTAATCTCGTTGTAAACAATTTATATTAGGCTTTTGGTCTAATTTATATAAATCTATTTTTGAATGTATAAATATACATTTAGATAACTATTGTTTCTTTCTATTCACTATAAATTTTAATTTTGTTCAAATGAAGATGGTTTCAGAAAGATGCAGAAAGAGAGATAACAATTTTTGCAGTAACTTTTGAGTCTTTTTTTTTAGACACGTTAGTTGTGAACTCGTATGAGAATTCACAAGGCATTACACTGAGCTACAGGCGAACTTGAGTACTTCACAGGCACTAATCACACTAACTGGTCATGATCGGCAAACTTTTCGAACGATTCTTGTTCCTCGTCGTCAGCCGACCGAACGATTCGACAAACGTGGGAACGACCGGCTCGCGCAACTAATGGAATTATAGAACGACGATTCTCCGCCGATCTCGTAACGGACTTAGAAGCTTGCGAACTGTATCCCACAAATACTATCGATGAAACTTTTCAGACTTTCTCCACTAGAGTTTTGACATCTCGATAATGCCATTTCTGCGCATTTTCGTCGTTACGAAGTAATTAAAAATTTACTACTTGAGTGCTGATTCGCGATAAAATCACTCCCTAATATATTTAAGTGTCGATATCAATTCCGAGTAAAGAATTAAATATTTTCTTACATTATTTTCAATAGTAATACAATAGGAAATATATTTTTTGTCTTATAATTGATCAAAGGCAATTTCAAAATTACAAAGTAAAAAATATACTTTTTATTAAGGTGGTTCTTTAGTAAATCGAGTTACCATAGAAATGTCTAATTTTATTATACTGAAGTTGAAGTACCAAAATAAATTAATGTGTGCAAAATTCTACGGTAGGTTAACGATGAAATAAGAGAGAAAAAAAATATTGAAGATGTAACCTTTCACGTATAATTTAGTGACTTGCGGATACTTCTTTGACTAACTGCACACAAATCTTACATTGACTTTTCTAAAAAACGACATTATAATAGTTTAAAAAATTACGATTTTAATGGTAACAAAAAAGTAATAGGTCAACGGCCATCTTCTTGAAAGAGATTTACGTGCATAAACTCGCATATCTGGAGACACAGTAGTGTCTCGGCGCTAATAAAACAATGAAAATTATCTAGGTACCAGATTCACCAGTTAAAGGATCGCACACTATACTATTAATGTATTCTTCTACATCTAAAATCTGATTGAATGATTTTGGTAAAAGAATACACCAATGACAGCGAGCGCTCACTCAACTGTTGAGTCTGCTGAACGCAACCTGTAAGATCTTGCGCACAATAGAAGGAATAAGGAATAAAGAATAACGATTTCAACCTATCAGAATAACCTATTGGATATATCGGAATACACGGTTTTGAATAGGTTGAAATCATTATTCTTTATTACTAATTCCTTATTTCTGCTATTATGCGTAGCCTCTTACAAGGAATAAGGAATTAAGAATAAAGAATAATGATTTCAACTTGTCAGAAACAGCGTATTCAGATGTATTGAATTATGTGTTCTTTAGTTTAATACGGATTTATTTGTTGTAGAAGTTTAGTGCATAAAAGTGTACAAAGGGACATGCAAATACAGTTATAAAGATAAATCACCAACCCTCATGCTTGAAATCGTGTACTATGTGCAATTCCGTCATTTTGATTAGCATTTTTTTTTAAATCAATTGCGATACTTTATCAACTTTTCAAAAATTATTACGTAAAAATTATGGAATGACAGCTTTAATGCTCTGGCAAAAATCATTATTTTTCGAAAAAAACTATTGTACCAAATCAAAAATTAAAAATTAAAATCAAAATGATACCGACTTAATTAATTAAGATATATATTGTATTAAAACTAAAATCTAAGTGATATTTTACTTTGTTACTCAACTCTATTAATATGTATGTCATTCGTATAAAAGATTATAATAACTAGTGCCAAGTTAAATTCTACAAAATTTTATGTATCATTCGTACAAAAGATTATCTTTTTAAAAAAAGGTAAAAAAAGCGCTAAGAATATACCTGCTTCTCGAATCTAATTGATACGTATCTTTTTATTATTCCAACTCAAATAGTAGCAGTTTTAATTCTCTTTCAAAAATATTCTTATTGAAGGTTCTCTTATTCCAACCTAAATAATGGCAATTCTAATTCTCTATCAAAAATTATTATTCTTCGAAAAAAAAAATTAATGTACAAAATTAAAATCTAAATGATATAATCTTAACTAACTAAGTTAAATTCTATCAAATTAAAAAGCAAAATACAAGTGATATCATCTTTGTTATTTACTTAATTCTCTAGTGATATGTATTATTTATACATATAAAAGATTTGGTATCAACAACTGAAAATAATAAATTAAAAATAATTTATCCATAGAATAATTTAAGATCTTTAAAATTGATCTCTTGCATTTTTTTATATGATTAATGGTTTTTGTGATATATTAATTTGAATGTTTGCATGAGCGACGTTTTTTATGAATTTCTGCAACTTACAAGCGTGAATCATTTCATAAAAAAAGATCTAAAATTGTTTTTTGTGAAATTAGTACACGTGTCTCATATTGTTATCTATAAATAATCAGCAAATTAAAAAAAATTAAAAGTGATAATGTTTCAAAGGACGCTCAGTTTGACGTAGAATGACTTAAATACGAGTGTCCTTGTCATGTGTAGTCAGACATTTGCGACATCGGCGATTATCAGTCACGTAATTAAAGGTTTGTGTAAAGAGGAAGCGAAGGGTAGGGCGTAATAAATAAAAACGCGGCGGTTAAACGATAATGTGAACATACATTTCCGGAACATCGTTGGTGCCACGTAGATTTTGTACTGAAAACTCAGGTAATGTCAAATCGCTTGTCTTGAATTAAGAAAAATCTTGTTATAGTCATCTTCATAGATACTGGAAATATAGTCAAAATTATTAGGGCTTATAAAATTCATAATTCTTAGTAGAGATTCTAGGACAATGTCTAAAAAAAAGCTGAGTAAAAATAGAAAAAAGGGAGCAAAAAGAAAAAGGGAAAAATAGTGATAATAATTGTGAGAAATAAAGTGAGGACACATCTAATACAAGCTAGAAATTAAATGCCTATACTGATCAAAGCTAGATCTTTAATGTTTAAATAATTCAATGTGAATTATATATATAGATACTATATATGTATGTACATGCATATATAGTATCATATTTGTAGTCATTCGAACTGCGCGTCAAATTGATTTTCCAGACTTATAGAAGCAATTAAACTACTGTAATAATAATTATGATTTTAATGTTCTCGTCTGAATTTGATTATCAATAGAGATAATGACTGTAGAGAAAAAAAATCGTAACTTGCAACAATATATATAAGATATATAAGTATGCATACTCTTATTTATATAATAAAATCAACAATTTAATCATATATTATCCAAATATTTATGTTAATAATCGCAAATTTATATCAACTTATATCAATTGTCGATAATATCAGCGTTTTTCAATTATTACCGGGTTCTCAAAGCCCTTTTTGTATGGAAACTTTGTTCAGGTTCTTAATAATATCTCGTCGGTAACATGATGTATCAATTCATCCTTCTTTAGTATTCAATGAACAAGGATAAATGATACATCAAGCTCTTTATGTGTAATTCGGAATACATTCTATATCCTATTCTTGTTTTACTAATAAATGATAAAAAAAGAATGACATGATAGCGCTGATATTGTCGATATCGCTCCCTGAATGCAGTCTTAACTGAATTTCTTGTACAATTTATTTTTTTTTATCTTTTCAACGTGAAGACGAACTATATATTACAATTTAACTTGATGCCATTTATCGATATTAAATCCCATTACTATTAATATGAAATTTTATCATCCAAATAGTACATACTAAATCTTTTATACAAATGATGCATATTACTAGAGATAAGTAAATTATATTGTATGTCCTTCACTGTACAGTATGAAATTAACATTGCATTAACAGAATTTAACTTGGCGCCACAATTGTTGATATCAAATCTTTTATATGGATCATTCTAATTATATGAATCATACAATATATGAATCATATATATCTCATTAGAGTTATTCAAAGATTTGTGATACTTGGAATTCAAAATAGGAACATAATAATTTTAACAATTTTTGAAGGATAATTAAAGGTATTATTGCTTGGATTGAAATAAAAAGACCTTCAATAAAAATATTTTTAAAGAAAAATGAAAGTTACTATATTTTTTTTTTTTTTGGTTGGAATAAGAGAGTAATAAAATTTAATAACTTGCCACCAGTTGTTGATATTAAATCTTTCTTTAACTTGATATTAGTTGCTGATACCATATCTTTTTTTTTTTTAAGTTAAAATTACTATTACTTTTTTTGCGAGGTTGAAATAAAAAACTTTCAATAAAAATACAAAAAGATACATAACACTTATTGTTAGTAAAAATAATATATTTATACAGAAAAAGAACCATTTTAACAATTCCAGTTACGTATTCATATATGAGAAATGTGTAAATTATCATTAAAAAAAATCAAATTAGACGGAACATGGATTTGTAATAATATATCATAAAAATAAATTATAAAACTCTCTTTTAAGTAAAACATTTTCTTTGTTACTACTATTTTTTACTTTGGTTAATTAAAGTAATCGCATATTGACGCAAGCAGTTTGATAAGTAAATTTACAAGTTGGAAGTGAATATCTTATATAAACGCAAATTTTAGGTGAAAAAAGGAGTGTTATTTCAGAAGTCTCAAAAAATAATACGCAAAAATTAGGACAACAATGACAAAAATTATAATCACATATTGCATCATTGCAGCTGTTTGCGTAAATTTTTTAATTCTTGAATCTAAAACAATGTATTATTTAAATTATAAAAATTTAATATTTATCAAGAATTGTAAAAAAAAAAATTTATTTGATATTTATTTTATAATTTACATATAAATATATAAAGTAACATTGTGTGTGTGCAAGTGAAAGTTTTTTTTGTTTTTCGGATATTTAAAATAATTATGCATATATTACATATTTTACTTTTTTATTTATATTATATATTGAAAATATATTATAGTAGAGTTAAGGTACAATAAAATATTTTAAAGATTTGTATGCACTTCAAGTAAAATTGATCAAACTCATTTTATTAACTATATTATAGTTTTATTAATGAAGAAGAGAGATTTGCATTGAAATTCTTTGAAATACACAATGTTGTTCCACTACTATTATATTTTCAGAGTAAATTTTAAGAAAAAAATTATATTTGTGTACACACACACACACACACACACACACACACACACACACAAAATTAAGTCTTAATTGTATTATTAAAAAAATTAATTTTATAGAAAAATAGCAATATTTAAAAATTGCATATTGCTAATTTTTGAAATTTCATATAGTTAATAGATGGACTTATAGCACGCCAAACAGAACGTTCAAGAACTAACCCATATACTAATACGAGTATGCGTAACAATTTTCAAGAAATTTTCTATAACATGCACAAGTGCATTATTAATTCGACTGAAAATGAAAACTTTATGAATACTATGCAAAATATAAAAGAGAACTCTTGCAATATTTTATATTGTATTCGAGACTTTCCTAATAATTTTATACCATCATGCTTCAGTGTAAGTAATTTAATTAATTTTGATTTACTTTAATTCTTAAACATTCTTTTTATAATAATTTATAAATATTTTTATAATAATACAAAACTTTTTGATAATGTTATAATAAAATGTATTCTTGCATTCTAATGCGTAAAAATGTTTACACAAAACTTGATTAATACGTTAAATATATATATATATATATATCGATTTGCTTGTCTTTTCGACAACATCGGAGTAACATTTTCACTATTAAATCCACATTTCGTTTAAATATTATTTAATATATTTGAATTATGCAAATTTTCATGTACAGTTACATTTATTATATTTTAGAAATTACTTCATTAATATTAATTATATTTTTATTAAGAGTTACAAATATTATTTTATTCAAGTTTTATATATATTTTTTTAAATTTATTAACGTCGATCACACTAGGTCGGCGATGAAAGTTTAAGTGTTTATACGTGATCAGCACAGTATTTAACGTGTTAAATTATAATTGTTCAAAAAACTTTTTAAAAGAATTTTAACATATTTTTTTCAGATTATGAGCAACATGTCTTCCCAAGGAATACCAATGATGAATGCAATGCAAAATATCATTGAAACAATCTCCAACATAACTAAGTGTTTGGAAATAGAAATTAAGAAATTATACAAAAAGTTATACGAAATCGTAGAACAAAATTTCCAAAGTATGTGTACATAATTTCAATTATAAATTATTTATGGGTCAATATAACTCTATTTTTACCTGCATTACAATATACATAAACATATATGTATAGTATAAATTTAACTTCGAAAAGTAAACATAATCTCATATCGTATTTGTTCGATAAAGATGCAGCTCTTGATTTACTACCGTATATTCCACACTATTTCATTAAGATATACACATAGTTTTAATATTTTCCAAATTATACAGATATTTGTAATTATGGGTAAATCCTGGTGAGGCAGCCCAAGTTTTCGACTGTACTAAAGAACCACCTTAAAAGAATAAAAATCAAACATAATGTGAATCATGAACGTCTTAATTATTTTTTAAATGTGCATTTGATAAAATTTCCGGTGAGATCGACAAGATATTGCGATATCACTTACAACTTCAATCAAAACGTAACGTTCAAAAGAGTGTTTGTGTAACCGATATAACATTCAGCTCTAAAATTCACACCTCCTGTTAGCATCGGGGATCGTTACCGGCTCGACCGGCGTTATCTGGGGCACGCATCTCCCGTGCTAATGCAATACATGCGCCAGTGTGACGATATATTGGTCGAGTAAAAATATACGAGAGCTCTAATGGGCGCCAGTCGTACCGGGGTCTACTGCTAGGGGTGAGAAACCGGAAAGTGACCACGTGCACAGCTCCGCGTCCGGTACGGGTTGGCCTGTATTTCTGCTCCTTCCCGAAGGGAACGTTGACAAGAAGACCAAATGAAAGTCCGGCGAGGAAAAAAGAGGGACAAAGTTTTCTCGAACCGATACATAGTAAAACGTGTTCGTTTTTGTTAAATTTTTCCTGTGATAACTGTGGTTTCTTTTTTATTATGTCTACCTTTAAACTATATATGTTTGAGAATAATTCTTGTAATTCTTTTCAATATTTTACAAACGATACTTCATCTTTGTGCAACTTATAATTTGCTAAATATGTAAGAAAGCTCCAAATACGACTAGATATTTGATGTCTAATAATATTCCTATATAAATTTTAAATATATCTTTTAGTTATACAGGGTTAGTTGTCCCCAAAAAATCGTCAAATATTTCATGGGTAAATAGAACGAACTAAACTGAGTCGAAAAATTCTCTACCATTTTGCAATTTTTGCATTAACAAGATATTAATTATTAAAAATTGTCGAAAATTGGTCTTCAATAATTTTATACTCAAATACTATTAATTTAAAAAAAAACTGCTAGAAACAAAAATTGTTTATTTTCCTCATAGAGCACTAAGAATTTTTTCAGAATTTTTTATCAACTGTTTAGTACTGTATTTTCTTATTTTCTAACATAAAAGAAAATTCTGAAAAAATTCTTAGAGAAGAAAATAAACAATTTTTGTCTCTAGCAGTTTTTCTGTAAAGTTAATAGTATTTGAGTAAAAAATTATTAAAGACCAATTTTCGGCAATTTTTAATAATTAATATCTTATTAATTATTACGAAAATTGTGTAAAATAGTAGAGGACTTTTCGACTAAGTTCAGTCCGCTCTATCTGCTCATAAATTATTTGGCGATTATTTTGGGACACCCTGTATAAACTGCATGCAGATTACTGTTGAATTTACAACGCACTTACACATTATAGTTATAATTTTACAAATTAAATTGATTTTTTATTAGATAAAAATGCTACTAGAATCTTTAAAAAATACTGTAAATAATTTATATCGTAATTATTTTTTCATATACGTATATAGTTATAATTTTAATTTAATTAAACTATTGAAAAAAATTGATTTAAAGTTATTAGAAAATTTTGTCACAGTTTGTAATAATGCTCTTTTGCAGCACGCTATAATACGATTTTCGAATATAATCCTTAAGTTCGATGTAACCGCAGCAGCATAGACATGCACTTGCGGTATACTCGAATGAATGGAATCGAAGTCCAGCCTCCCTCTACTCGACCTTCGTTAGATGTAATTAACGATTTAGCAGATTACGTTTAGGGATAATGTCGAGAATTACTGCAGTTAACTCTCATTTAAGCGCTTATCGATGTAGCGGTATGCGACGTGTTTAATTAAAATATTATTTAATAATAAATATAGTATATATAAAGTAATAAATTATATACAAAATTCTTTTTTTTCTCTTTATTGGATATAAAATAATCTTTAAATTCTTAATGTTTTTAATAGAAATTTAATAAAAAATTTGAGGTTTGATAATTAAGTCTAAAATTCTGTTAAAACATAATCAAGTTAAAATTAAACGAAGAGCAAAATGTTGTTACTTATTTATATTCTCGAAATTTAATTCACACGAAATAACTTTCCCAATTGTACTTGCAACTTAAAAAGTATTTTTTAGATAAAAGGCGATTGATCATATAAATAACTTATATTTGATGTTTGTCAAGTACGTTATAGATTATCTCCGCAGGATATTATGTCGCATTAGAGACATCTTATGAAAAGTAAAGTTTCGTTATGTGTCGTGTATAACAATCGTTCCATTCAAACTTCCACTAATACCAAAAACATACTGACCTTACTTCAGAAATCTAATAAAAATCGAGCTGCGTGATGCAACTAGGCATAAATGGAGCTCTCCAACTTTCGAAAACTGAAGTCGTAATTTTTTACCTGCTGAGCAACCCGTATCTAACTCGTGTCGTCGTGGTAGAAAAAAAAAAACTAAAAAGGACTGACAGCAAGGTCAGCTCAAAATGGGAGTTGAAAGCGTAAAAAAAGTATCCCTTTAAGTGCGAAACCGTGAACATGCTGTCGTTTCTGAAGTTTCACAGTTATCAATCGAGAGTTATAACTGTATAATTAGTGTCCGAGCCGTTACTGTCCTCAAGTTTTTTTATTCGAAACTAGGCACTGTTGGTTAGTGCGCAAATATGATCGATGGCAAGTATGACAGCTCTCTCGGGACTTGCGAAATTCATTTGTTCCGGGATGTAACGTAATGAATTGATAGAGTGCTCACGACATGTTGCGTATCTATGCAGGCTATATGGAGGATACTTGTAAATTAATGCAGATGAGCAAAATGAGGATTTTATTTGCGATTATAAAATGTTACGTTACCAATTATAAAATGAAATTTTAATTCAGAGGTAATATCGATAAATAATTTTTGTAATAATATTTACTTGTTTACAGTGACAAGATAAAAAGCGCGAATTTAAATGTTGTTTTCATCGACGTATGAATATGCAATGTAATTTTAGAAACTACAGCAAATGTTTTATTATCCATATTTAATTATGATGCATTAAAGTTATAACATTTATTTTCGTTTCTTGAATTTGAATAAAAATATCTCGTAATATAAAACTCTGTAAATTGCTATTTTTACAGTGAATATGATCGTGGTTCAAGAGAAGGATCAGGTTTTCGAAAACATATGTCCACCGGACACATGTTCGTTTAGCATTGTCAAGTTTAAAGTACACGTGAGAGCGACAGTCGGTCTCCAAGTATTTGCGCCAATACTTATTTGCGGCTTATGAAAATTTTAAGTCCCATAAATCACGAGTTATGGAGCTGATGTAAATTACGATTATATTACCGGATTTTACTGCGTCCAAGAACGTCTCGATAATCCGGTACTGTCGCATCGTAAAAGCGAAAGCAGGGAATCGTTACAAGCGGAAATTTTACGGTCGACCGATCAGTAATAATTTGAAGCTTGTGTGCGTAGGAGATTCAAGGTCATCTCCAATACCGTTGATGATTCAGCAGATTGATGATCTATTGTGGCAATTATAAAGACGTAAAATCTTGGCCACAATCATTTCATACATTATTATAATAACAATTAATTATATAACAATTAAATAGATCAAAAAAACCTGTTGTAACTTGATGTAGAATTACACTGTAGGTATAAATTTATCATCGCTTTAGTGAAACTAAACTATGTATTTAAAATATTGAAGTTCTATCCTCAGAGATTGACTATATAGAAATGCAAATATTAAAACTTATGAAATTTAATTTCTCTGTTAACAATATATGTAGCACATCGATAGTCTGACTAATTAATAAGAATAATTCAAATATGTGTAAGTATTAATTTAGAAATGTTAAATTTGTATCTATTAACGAAAATATTTGATATCGAATAAATTCCGTATCTATTCATAATTGTGCATTTATCACTTTTCTTCAGTATTTAAAATATTTATACCAAATGTCGAAATATCGTATTTATAATTACGGATTTGCTTTATAAAAATGTGCGTTTAAAAATTATAACTTTAAGATAATCTGTACTACACATGACACTCTGACGTATATTCGATAGTGTCAGTTAATACTAAAATTATTTCGACTAAGAGGAATTATATGTGTGTGGCAGTGCGGCTTTCTTGTCGTGGCATATAATAATGTGACAGCTTTGTTAACAAAATAGACTAAATTCGCGATATTATTAATAATCGCAACAATGAAATTAATGCCTTTGTAAAATTTTGAATATATCAAATACTTATGATAAAATAGAATTTATTTATTCAGAAACACCGTTATTGATTCCGTGTTCTAAATCTACGAGTGTCGAAATAATAGCAGCATGATTTTTCGCGTATGATTAACATATGTCGCCTTATTGCGATACACTTCTCTAAGAGCTTCGCTAAAGGCAAGTATCTCATATTGTCTACCAGGAAACTTAATCTTCAGCTGCTGCTTCCAGGCGAATGAGGTTTCATTAAAAAAATCCAATTTTTGAGAGCGACTATGCTCAAGCCAAGGGGCAAGAATTAAATTCTACGTGCTTCTTTTTTTGCTTGCGGCAGCGCGAAATTTGATGGGCTCAGAAGGAGATCCTCCCGATACGGATAGTATCCTAGAGTGCGTAAAGAGGCTGATATTAAAAGAGGAAGGAAAGGCATAAATGATAGAGGGACGGCTATCGTCCTAATTCCTATCGAATCGATAAGAATTATTTGAATTACAATACCTCACATTTACAATGAAATACATAATGCATTGCACGTTACTTTATATCTCGTTAACAGTACTGATACGAGTTATTTATTTTAAAAGTTGATAAAGTCTATTTTTTTTTAACACAATAAACATTAACGAAATAAAATTTTTATAACGAATATTATTTCAGTTTATAAATAAATAGCTTTTAATGTAAATTTACGAAAATTTTGAATATATCAGTGAAGTTTTAAATTTACATTTTGATATATATGATCACTAGAGGGAAACTTCAAAAGGATGTAGATACAAAAACGAGATGTGTATTTTAAAGCGTAACTATCTTTATTAGCTTTGGCGACATAATCTATTTATTAAAGCGATAC